TGGCCCCCCTCACGATCACGTTGTAGCCAGTACCCGCGTCTGCGCCTTCCGTCCTGAGTGTCCATCGTCCGGCCGCCGCGACGCTAGTATTGAGCTGTACGCTGACGATGTTGTTGTCTCGTATCAGAACCTTATATCGAGTCCCGTCGTCTAGTGTGAGATCGATGGCATTGCCTGTGGAACACGTAGTTATCATGAAGACTGTCGTCATTGCTGTTTGTTTCTAGTGGGGTAAACAGTAAGTTTGTTCTTGCATGTAGTAACTTGTACTGACATAACCATATGGAGACGGAAAATTCACTTTCGTTTTATAGTTTTCCTTGGTGTGGTTTCGAGCGAAAACGTTAGTGACGATGTGGGAGGATGGCATTAAAATTGATCCAAGAGCAAATGGAAAATGAGCGTGTGACTTGGGTTCAGCTGGTTAAGGGTAAGGGCTAGTTTGCTTGAACGTGTTAATGAACTTAAGGCATACACAATCAGCTGACTAAGTATTAACTTCTTGTAGAGACTTTGTGTCAGCAGTCTTGTGACTGGTTTGTTTTGTCATTGTGATATTTTCTTTGGACACTGTTAGCTGTCAAGATAAACTAGCGAGGAAATGTATGCCTATTGCCGTTTGAAGTTACAGTACATATTTTCCACATATGTTCTTTACTGTTTGGAACGCGAAATTGACCTCGAAGGTCATTTTTTGCAAGCACAATAGAAAATAGACCCATTACTTTTGTTTGCATGCCGTTAAACGCTCACCTCGTCGGAAAATGTTTCGTACAGGAAGTCGCAGACGTTAATGATGCTTGTATTTTGTTTTATGTACCTGAATTTTATGGTGTTACGTAGGACATGGTTTTAGAAAAAATTGAGAAGTTTAATTTGAGCTTTGAGTAAACTGTGGGCTATGTTGGCCCGATACGAACCAAAATGTCCGACAACTTTCAAGTTAGGTCCATCAGTGTCAAATTTAATCGAAACCCGTCGAGTAGTTTGGATGTGAAACATGGGGGATGAACATCCAGTATTCCTCACTATGCCTTCATCTTTTCCACTTTGTGGTTATCGATGAGGGTCTGTTGAGTTAGATGAGACGATACGAAGCTTTAGTACGAATGTTCTATGTATTGTAACTAAGAAACTTAGTGGTGACGCAAAACGCATTTCTTTTCGCACACGTTAAACAGCTGATGGATCCTGGCAGCAGGAGCTCTAATGAACACGTCATATGGCGCTACTCCAACACTTGCAGCATGACATAATTCTGCAAGACTCTGACCAAAAATTAACTTGTAGCTGAGGATAATACTTACTTGTCGTCACATCAGGCGTTTGAATCTACGTTAGTGTTGAAATGTTGCATGAAATATTTGTGTACGTCAATATGACGCTGGAGTGAGGAGTTTCGGTTGCCTCAGAGAATCCGTGTCGTAGCAGCAGTCACCGAATTGCGTAGTTCAGGGACAGTTCAGATTTGTACAACGTCGCAACGCGAACAGCAGAGCCCATGCGAATGAAGATTGCCCAGAACTTGCAGCTTAGAAAAGGTACCAATGCTATACTTTGGACTTGGAGCCGCGCGTTAAGAGGGGCGAAGTCCTCAGTGGCCATGAAGCACGCTCGTTGATGACGACTACTGTAGTGGACGTCCGATAAATCAGTTTCTTAGAGGTTAAGTACTTACCGAAGGGATCCAGAAGGAGAGCGGTGCTGATAGGTCCTTGAATTGTCACGAGGAGAGACATCACCGTCTTGTCCACTTGGAAGGGCAGCTTTGCCTGTCCCATCAGACCGAGCCTCATCGTCAGAGTAACCTGTTCGCATGCGATATTCATTACAGCCTCCATATTAAAAAAAAATCTTTTAACTTCTCGTTTCTCAACCTCGTCCCGGAGAATTTCAGAGTTTTCCTCGGTCCCTCCGGGCAGATGCGTGATAATACCTGGGATTAGGCCGCAGTTGCTTTCTTCCATGTCCTTCCCAGTTCACTGATTTTCCTGTCGTTTATTAAATGACATGTAATCCAATTTCTATCACCGGTTGGCGCTGTGGATTTTAGTGTTATGCCTATGCATGTATGCGTGTTATGATTTGTTCGCGTTTATGAGGTAGTTTCCTGTCTCTTTCAGATCAAACTTTATTCAAAAACCTTGTTTTCATTGTATGCACAATATTACAGGTAGTTGACGTAGGGTCAGAATGTTTGAATGGTGATAACTTTTTAAATAATATTTTTTTACGACATTTATAGTTAAAATTAACATATTTGAGTATGTGGATCAAGATCCAGCAGTTTAACACACTAATACCCACCATTGGACACTATACAGAGCCAGTTCCAGCCACTCCCAATTCTTACAACATGTTTCTCGAAGATACTTGTTATCCTCCCATGTAATTCGCCGTCTGCTGTCGAAGTGGTCATTTATCACCAACATTCTTTTCGCCTACTTAGCATTCTTTGTGTTTTCCATCCTAGCTACACATCGAGCACGTTGTAACCTCTTAGATATCAATACCCTAACAGTACTAGGTGACCTATATAAATCATGAAGTACCTCATTATGTAACCATAAATTGTTGGACTGGTTTATTCTTTATGAGTGTTATAATGGTTGTTCTGAAACGTATTATTTTACATCGAGGTTAATCTATGTACACGGGCTGTTGTGTTTTGTTAGTGTGTTTGTCTCAACATACTGCCCTACCTCTGTAACTTCTTGTTGCGTCTCGGTGAAGGGTCTTGTGTCAATGGAGTCGCCTTTGTCATCTTGCGAGAAGTCACTTGCTTTGGTGAAATAGAATCCGCCCCCAGTTCTCTGAGCCACCTCGGCGTAGAAGGTTGCGACCAATGGGTTCTGTAGTGGAGGTGGATCGAGCCACAGGACATGCAGCTTAAAATAATAGAGATTGACAGTTCTTTATTCTTTATTCTTTCGTGAGTATTGCGATGTTTATTTTCTGCCAATATTTTCCTGATTTTTGTTCCTTTCTGAGCGAAACTCTCGTTTATAAGATTTTTTCCTGCCCTAGTGCATGTGAAGTGCATTGAGGATATTTGGGGACTGTGCCGCTAGGATTGGGAAACTCGGTAACTGAAGCATCGCGATGCAGTGATTACGTATAGTGGAAAGACCGTTCCGTGCCGCCAGGACAACCGCCAAGTATGCTCGCTGTATAATTTTACTTCGAAAATCCAATGCATTATTCATAGAATATTATGCTAAGTGTTATCTGACCTAGAACGTGTAACGCGTTCCTTTTCAGTGATTGATAAGTATTTTTTATCACTTCATTACGGTATTTCCAAATCTTGGAATTTTCTGATGTTAACTTTGTGATCATCCTCAGACAGAAGGGAATATACAGCATAATTGCCCATAGGAACAAGACGTCATAAATTCTACCTGTAACCTATTGTTTTCTGACGAAATCTCCACTCGACTCTGAACACTTTAATTAAACATAAACAGTTACACAGTCAAACAATTAAACTTCATATTGCGCGTCCTTTCTGATCCTAGCAGCTGATAATTATTCACTCGGTCCCAGAAGTTACTCCATTTTTATGGAACCTGGAGGTTCATCATCGTTCTCACTGGGGCTCGTATGAAGATGACTATCGTCTGGGATATTGTGCTTTGTAGTCTTATAGAAATTGGCCGACGTTTCAGAGGCGAGTCGTCTTTAATGGAAAACATGTACGTTTCTGCCGTAGTCTCCCAGACGTATCTTGTTGACACCTCTTCCCATACCTTATATTTCGTCCTGTACTCACTTTGCAACGCTTTGAAGCGAGGTTTTCAGCCGTAATCTGTGCAAGGTCCTCATCTTCTGCAGCTCTGCCTGTAAAGAGGAGTATAGCGCTGTCGTAAGGAACTTTTTCTGTCGCCTTCAGGATTGAGTAGAACGCCACGCCCCCCTTGTGCGAGTGTCCCACTGCTGCAGCTTTCAGGTCGTGAACTGCGTATCGCAGTTGGTTCATATCCATGGGTTTCTGCACCGAACCAATGCCTGAAACATACAAAATTTGAAGAATTTTAGGGATTGTAGTAGTACCAGAAATAAATGGAAGTAATTATTTTTGAATCACCATCGAATAGTACTATACCAGCCTTGACTATAACCTCTTCCAAAGTTACTATAAAATTAATCCCTTTCCTAATATCGGTCAAGAATTACAAGCTGGCAAATTTCTGAGTTACAGTTAGTGTAATATTTAGTTTACGACTTCATACTCTTATATTACCGCTCTCTTCGAGTGTACCAGTAATTTGTTATATAAATTAGCTGTTTCAAAGAATGAAGATAGAATAATAAATATATTTTGGATCAAAATATTTATCGTGGGACATGGTAAATGAACATAACTTACAAGTTAATATATAGAACCGGTAATTTGATTAAAAGAACTGTTATACAGTTTCTTCGTGATTCCTGAACATTTTTTGTTGTAGATAAAGTTTATTTTTAAAATTTAAAAACTCGTTTATCGCATGTCTTGGTTAGTCCCTTTATAAGCAGGTTATGTAGCGAGAAGGATATTAGAATTAAAAATTAAAACATGAGACTCGTAAGGCGAACGAGAAGAATATGGTCGAGCCAGTTATTATTTGACGAAGAGAATGAAGAGCTGGCAGGAAATTGTGAAGTTTCTCCAAAGGGAACAGTGTTATGAGGAAGAAAAATAAGAATTTATGGAGGTTTTAACTTTGTGGATTAATCAACAGATGGCATAGTTCGATGTGGGGAAGGATGTGTGGTTGAACTCCGGGACGCAGCCCGGGACAACTATACCACCAAGACTGCTGAGAAGTTAATTGAATCAAAAACTGGTGGTTGTACATGAAAAAAAAAATCATGTGTTTATTATGAATAATGACGTTATAAACCGGAGCTCTGTACGCTATCACTTCTGAAGGAAATGTTTGTTAAGTGTAAATTCTTTCTTAAAATAATGAATAACGCCCTTGACAAACAAATTAGTTTCGAGTCTTTGTATCAGTATTGGTTTTCTATCTTCAAACATCCTGTAACCTGTCGAGTTTGAATGACAGACAAAAAACGCCCAAGAAGATAACCAACTTTCTTCCACCAAACGATCTCCTGCGAACTGTATAGTAACGGCTCTGGTCCAGCACAGAATGCCTCCTCGGTTAATTGCAACCACCCTCTTGTTCGACTCGAAAAATAAGTGTTACTAAAGGGCATCGATAAATTAATGGAGGAACATCGCGTCGAAGCCACTCTCATCCAGTAAATGCTTGGATGTAAGAACATTTGAGGAATTGTTACATTCGCGTGACAAATAGGGAAGTAGAACGGTCTTTGCCAAAGAACTCAATGCAGTCCGGAAGAGAATTCCTGAGTCGTTTTGAGAGCCCCTCGACCTTGGGGCGGCAGAATTTTTTAGCGAAGCGCTTGCAGCAAAGAATCGTCTGGCGTGTGTAAAATTAAATTTCGCCAAACTAAAGGTTGCAGTTGTGGATCGCCTCGCCATCTTACACACCTGGACGCGGAGGTTAGGGGCTCGAATGCTGATTTCGAGGCATTGATGTTGTTCATTTCTTTGTCTGTGCTAGACTGTGCAGGTCTTGTGATGATCTGACCCCATCAGAGACGTCTTACCGTCTATCTTAATAAGGATTTAGACATTGTTAATGTAATTAACGTACGCATTTATCTTTTGATACCTCGCGATGTAATCAGTTTAGAGGGACTATTTACGTGAGATTGCGTCCCTGGAAGTACGAATATAACGAAAGTGTTACAGACTGTCAGAATTGCATGACATAATCAGTATATTTTCTTCTTTGTGTGATTTTTCACTATGAATTTGTAGATAGACTGACTGCAGAACTTTATGTTTTTAAAAATAACATTTAGAAAGTGATATACCAACGACAGTATTTATAAGGCACAAGAAAATTAATTTCCATGAAGATATTAAACTGCATATCTGATGGAGGAAGTCATCGAAGACGACCTCCAAACAGATGGAAAGAAAGCATGAAAATGGGATCGGAAGTAACCATGTGGCCTAAGCCGTTTATAAGAAAAATATAATTTATTACTAGTCGAGCGTGGAAATTCATGGATGTTTCATGATCGATAGTCCATCTTCTATAAATGCGTGGGGGTTTATAAATTATCCCACAACATATGAATTAATTAGGTCTCAGAATTGGGTCAGAAGGAAAATCTTCAGGACATGAAATTTTATATAAAATCATGCAATCAGACAACTTTTTACTATGTGTAGGATTCATTGTGCTTGACACTCAGACTTACTCACCAGTACTGTTATATGAGATCAGTACCATGGTTATGCTCGTGTTGGCAGAGACGACTGCTTGCAGGAGCGTCTTGGCTCGGTCCAAAAAAGGAGGCGTTGTGTCTATGACCACCGCTACAGGACTTCTTATGTACGGATCCTTAAGGATCTGTTTGATGATGGTCACAGTAGATGTTTCCTCGAGTTTCATCCCCGGAAGTGGAGCATCTGCAGGCCATAGACCATTGTTGTTGTTGTTGTTATTTGTATGCTTGTTTTCAATATTAATCTCGCCGACGCCTTGGCCACTTAATATTCTGCCTTGAGCAGCGGTTGAAACTTGGCACAGTTGAAATGCAGCGAGAACGAAGCATGCCGTGGTTGGGCTTAAGATACGCATTTTAAGAGTTTTTGCTTGCTATTATTTAAAAAAAACTTATTTCTGTTTATTATTGTTTTAATACATATTTCTGTGTCGTAGATTGTGCGTTGCCAGTATTTAACGGGTTTAACACCTACAATAACACCTTGCCACTTCTGTGTTTGGTTTGAATGTACCAACAGACTTCTGATTTGTTGAGGTGGTTCAGTATTTTACGAAAGACAGACGGTAGTTCGACTCTTGATTTTGTATGCTTTTCGAAAGACAAAATGAACTGTCCACTATTATAGATCGATGCACTCTGAGCTAGATTACACTGTACGCAGTTTTATAAGCGGAACTTCCTATGTCGTCTTAAGAAATGACACTCATTCGGGGCATTTCCATGTCTCATTACAAGATCTGAGGTAGGAAGGGGCTATCAGGGCGGAGTTATTTGGCCGGAAGTTATCCGATGTTCGACGATTCTGACGTTTCAGTGTTTACAGAGAACTACACAAACGGTCACGTAGATGTTATACTATTTCATTACGTTCGTGGATTTTCAGCATTGGTTTAACCACAAGCTAACTAGTATGGCAACCATAATTTTCTTTGATGTCATTCACGCACACATTAGGTATATTTATGTTTAATCAAAGTAGAATAAAACTTGGAGTTTGTTTTGCACAGTCACACGTGTTTGTAATAGTTTGTTCAGTGCCCTGCTCTCCCCCCAAGCGCCTGCATGGCATATAGCGGGACTACAGGTGTTACTGGACCGAAGTTTGTTTGATGGCAGCGGAACTGTAATTGAAGATTTATTACGAGTCCACAGACTGATATCACACCGTCTTTCAAAGTCGGTACTTCGCTTCTAACGTAGAATTTGTCATGTACTCATCACACAGATACAAAATCTATGATCGCACGTAGCTGTACTCCTGTTTCGTTTTCGGGATGTTTCTGGTTTAAATCTCGGCACAAGGGTTTTTGTGATGTTGTTCAGTCCCTCCAGGAAGGTGCTAGGATAGTACCTTAAAGTAAGGCGTGAACGCTTCCTTCCGTATCCTTTCCATGTCGTTGTTTATTAGTTGTCCTGTCATTCAGCACTTTCGTCTGAGCTTCTGAAAGCGTCGTTGAACTGCAAATGAACAGACAAAGAAAGCGTATGTCATAAATCTCGTAGCATTTCTGTTTGTGAAGTCGTGGTTACTTGGTTGTATTTGTACATGTATTGAATTTAGTTACGCAGCCCCATCGTATTAGCCTAAGGCGGACGAAATAGATGTATGATTTTACTGTAGGTACTGTTCGTAATTCGAAATCGTGTATGGCGAACTAGGCATCCAATTCTCCATGAAACGGCGAAGTCATATTGCAAAAGATTTGCGCCCCCACGAGATGAGGTCAGTCATCGGCCTCTTGTGTGGTTTCAGTTCCTTGCGATGACATAGGCTAGCGTATGATATCAAGTTTCCTGTGACTCCTTTTGTTTCAAAAGGAGTCACAGGAAGTTTCAATGATTGTGTGTTAGCGATGCGGACAGTCGTTGCGTCATACACGATGATAACAGCTTTGTAAAAAGGATGTTAACTTGGCGCAGAAAGGTAGATGTGATTGCGTGCTGAAGGAAATTGCTTAAGTGTCCCCGCCTCATTTAGCTATCTTCGAAGTTTGTCATTATTCTTTTCGATATTAGTGTCAGTGGTTCGGGGTCGAACCCGGAACCCTTAGAATACTGAAAGCGTGTACGCTAATCAGTAGACAATAGCGGGCTTACATGGTCTCCTGACCTGAAGATGGGAGTAGAACCAACTCGCGAACTACGAGCATAAATTATAATTGTCCTGTGCTTTGCATGAGTTCAATATAACCTGTAATTTACATGAACTATACTATCTCATGAAGTTGAGAGCCAAGGTAGTGCAGTCAGTGTTGTGTCTGACTGTGAACTGAACAACAGGGGTTCGATCCCTGGCAGGAGCAGAGGATTTTGTTTCTACTCTCTATATCCAGCCTCCTATCTGGTGGGTACCAGGGATAAATTGCAGCCGGAGTGTGTTGCCGGCCACTCACTCCCATCTAGTGCTGAGGTCAAAAACAAGTAGGAACTATACCTCCCCTTCCCATAAGCGCCTCTGTGGCATGCAGTAGGACAGTTTTACTTTGGTTGGATTTACTTTACTTTACATGAAGCTTAAGATATCATAGTTTTTATTGATTTTCCCAAAAGACGTATACATTACATTAATTACACATTTTGTTGGAAATACTTTCTGATATGGTGAATATTTGATGAAATACAAGGAGAAATAATTTCTGTTTCAAAGTATTGTGGTATTTTCACTGTGGTTAGCTGTGCAATATTGAGTAATGGTGGCCACCCTTTCTGTGATAACTTGTTCTTGGAATGTGATGCATCACATTAAATTTAGGTCACATTCAGCCTACAAAGTATATGTATGTGTGTGTTACAAGAAGTTAGGCGCCTGTAGAGTATTTCTTGTTAATATGCTGTAACTAGAAGTTTAATGAACTGAGAATGTGACTCATTTCATACTTTATTATTTTCAGTAATATGGAAATATAGGAAACAATAAACTAAACATTTGTGGGCATACATTTACTTCAGACAAGCAAAAGATTTTGAAACATAGGTAAAACTAAATTAAATTAAATCTGTGGCTAACAGCTCCAGAGAGCCAAAGCCGACTAGCTTGACTGCTGGCCTCACGTTCACATGCCTAAGCAGAGGTGAACGATCATCCATAGGTAAAACTATTTTGTTAGGTTCAGGAATTAAGGAGACTTTAGAAAATGACACAGTTTGCATGAACATATGGTAAAACGTTTATGGGAGGAACTTACAAGACTGTTTTTCTTTATATTTTTCTGTGTGTTCACACAGACAAGTAGAAATCACATTGACTGCATGGTAGATAGAGGCCCACTTATTGTCTAATCTGTCATTGTACTTCTACAGATTGTCTAAGCAATGAAAGCAATATTGTGTTTTTTTTGTTTCAGAAATTGGAGAAGTGGACAGTTTCCTTGGACAAGATCCTCCCATCTCATCATCATCCATCCCTAGTTTAACACAACCATCAAACTCTGCCAATACTGATTACAAGACATTTACTACATTCTTCAGTAGCCATCAGCAGCCTTCTGGTTTACAAGATTCATTTGTAGAAGAACACAAATTCCAAGCAGAATCTAAACCACCACAAAGTTACGCACCTCAGCCTTTTAGTGTGTCTCAACCTCAACCATTTAGTGGTAGCTACCCTGTGTCATCTGGTTCTCCACATACCTATGCCCGTTCTTCATCCCCAGTTTTGCAACTAGCACCTGTTTCTTCCACGAACTTTCAGGCATTACCATCTTCACCTCCGACTGCTGCCCAAGGTTTACCTGAACTGTGGAATTATCAGTCACCACAACATGGCATTGTGGTAGGAAACACTTCATTTCAAAATGCTGTATCTGCAGATCCTATTACTTCTTCATCAGACATTTCTGGGCATCAAGCAGTGCCGCTCTTTGAAACATCACCTTTACCTATAAGCTCATCTCAGTCCCAACTCCAGCATGGTGCTCAAGTGCAGTCATATTCATCTTCTTCTGTTCCCTTATTAAGAGCATCTCAGTATCAAGAAAATCAACTCACAGCGCAACAAGAAACCAGCGCACCTCAATCTGTACCTGTTTCATTTCCTCCAGTTGCTACAGTTGTACCTTTCGGTAAGTTTCAGTTTTAAGGTACAGCTCACCTTGTTTTAGGAAAGTGAAATCAAGGAGAGATGGACTGGACTTGTAAATTGAATGAGGGAATGATTAATTTTATAGGGGAAGACACAAAACAGAGAAATACATTATTTGGTACAACAAACTGAAGCAAGAGACAAATATTCAGAACTCTAATATAGTTGTTCTTCCTGTTTTATGTTCTGCAGCTGGAACTTCCAATACCTACCGACTTGGTAGCCAAAGGAAGTTACTGTACGCACAGCCACCAGGGCTATCTGCTTCATCCCCCAACATATCGTCTCCTGTTGGTACTTACAGCAACAGCAACAGCAACAGCAACAACAACAACAACAACAACAACAACAACAACAACGGCAACCTTCCTCTTTCTGCCAATGTGGCAAAGCCACAGACATTACCAATGGCCACACTGACACCTACCCCTTTGCAGTACCAGTCTCCAATGAGTGCTGACAACCAGTCTCCACCCTCTGTGGTCCCACCATCATTTACTAATTTGGTAAAAAGATTTTTTTTATGTCTACAGATTGGGTTGCACCTGTGAAAAACAGGATGTTATGTGTAGATATTAAATTTTCAGTGAGGAGCTATGGTACTTCCATTGCAACAAATTGTGAAGCAGTTTTGAGTGTAGGCCACATTTTCTAACATGATCAGCACATAACAGCTTTTATGGTTTCTCTGATATATACAAACATGTTTTTAAATAACTGTTCATAGAATTGATTTGGTGAATTTAATATACATGTATGTTTTTTAGCGATTTCTTTATGGGCATGGCCTAAGGAGCCAGATGAATATCTAGAGCAAACATGTTCTGTTTTAGGCCCAGCTAGGAACAATGTACCGGCCTGTGTACCACCACTGGTTCTTCAAAAGGGAAGTTGAAACTAAGTTTTTGTGGCAGCCATTTAGTATGGTTGACTCTCTTGCTTTGGAAGAAGCATTCACTTCCAGTAAGTAAAATGAATCTCCAATTCATAGATTTTCAGTAATAGTAACAAGAAGTTCTGAGATTAACTTACATCATCTGATTTTGTATGGATTCTTCCATCTGTGGACAGATGCTAGCAGAAAGTATAAATTTTTACAGTTATTACATTTTAGTGACCTACTTCTGTGCATAGTTTCCACTAGTACAAATTTCTGTAAACTGATAGTTGTCAAACATTCGCATTGTCACCATATTTGTAATGTTTAGCATAAAAATCTTATGGTTTAACTCTATACTGGAGTTCACATTCTTAGATTTAGTGGTTTATTAGATGCTGTTGTCTCAAACCCATAGTTTAAGAAAATTATCAAAAATCAGACGGTATTCAAAATTTTGAATGGGTAATGTATAAATTTTAATAATATGTAATTGTATAAATGTTCCTGTTTGCAGCTGAAATTGTCCCCGAAACAGTAGTCGCAACAGATGGTGGAAGATATGATGTGAACATCCTTAGACGGCAGAGGACAGCTGTGTATTGGCAGGAAAGCCCATCTGAAGTTCGGCGTTGTTCTTGGTTCTATAAGGGATCTATTGATACTCGCTATGTTCCATATGAAGAGAATGTATCTACCAGACTGGAGGAAGAGTTTAAGATAGCAACAACAACCAATGTCTGGCATCGCCATGTTGAATTCCCCAATGGAGAAACAGTAGTCTTTCATGGACCTAATGTTATGGTCCATTTCCTGCAAGCTACATCACCAGATGCTTGGGGGAATACACCTGTGAGTGTATAATAGCATCTCTATGTTTGGTGATCTGATCTTTCCTTCCTTGTTCTGATCATTTAAAAGTTTTGCATAGTTCATGCACATGGATATTACTTTAAAAAAATCAAAATTCTATGTATGATAAAACAGACTATATTTATGAATTTCTTTATACAATTCACTTCAGACTCTTCTGTTTATCTTTGAAACACACATGGTGGAAATTTGAAGTGAAAAATTCATTCAAAGTTAAAAATGGAAAACATAAAAGTGGCTGCATAGGAGACATACATGATCCTCCACCATGAAGTTAATTTTGTCTTTACTTATTTCTAACATAGATAAAACTTATCAGTGTGAAAAATACCAGACCCCTGCTACAGTTCAAAGTCACATATCTTAATCTTTTTCATACACATACTGGGCATTTAAATTCCACCCTGGCATGCTTTTTTAGCAGAGATTTCATGATCGCTATAAATAAGCCATGACAGTCTTACAAATCCTTACTTACTCATCATTTATGATTGTCATACTATATCATTTGACACTATAAAACCTTTGTAGTTGATACACTATTCTTAAATAATCTAAGAATGAATTAGAGTATGTTAACCAAGAAATCAGGTTTTGTTAATGTGTAATAACTAGTTTTACTCATGCCTACATTATGTGTTGTTTGTAGCAAACTCCGTTGAGACCTCGTGTTGTGAAGCGTGGTGTAGATGAGTTTGATATTGATGAAGGAGAGCCAGCAAAGATTGATCACCTTCTGTTTCTTGTCCATGGTATTGGTTCAGTTTGTGACCTGAAATTCAGAACTGTTGAAGAAGTTGGTGAGCTGTCATTTAATAACTTAATAATCTTTAACATGCTTCTAAATAGTTTAGTATATGACGAAAGTACAGTAAATTTCAGGACACTTTCTTGTTACACTCGAAATGAAATGACATGATATGGCACATTATGTTTTGGATGCATCTGAAATCTAGTGGTGGAAGTATTAATTTTAGATCACTGTTCATAGTGGTTGAATGGTTTATACATTTTTAGGAAGTCAGGTGTTTGTTATTGGTGATTCCAGAACCAGTGTGCTGTCATTCCTGCATACATTTTGTACCCAAGAGCTGTGCCTTGTAACAAAGTTCTTGACAACATAGACTGGGAAGTGCTGTAATGCCTTCACTGAAGGTGTCAATAGGAAGTTAAAAGTTTGAATACAATGAACAGGTCCAATGGCATGCCTGCTATTTATTGTGGTTGCTTCTAGAAGCTTTTGTGTAGCTGAGATTATGAAATTTGTGAAACATTGTATAAAATGTATAGATTTGGAGAGTAATTATTTAGAAAAATAAAAGTGACAAAATGTAGCAACATGTTTGTCAGGTGCAAAATAAAATTCTACAATTTACTGTACCATAGTTCAGAAGGGTGGTAAGTTTGGAGGAAATATAAGTTCAGGGGTTGTGAAACTATATTAATACCACAGTAATACAAACTTTGTAATAAGCTGCTACTCCACTCACCATTGGAAGCATAAGTTAATGATTGTGATTAGTTTTGTTTGATTGAGTTAGTTGTGGATTTCATGCTTTTGTAATGTTTCACTTTGCTTTGTAGTTTCTGGCTGACTTGTTTTATTTGCAAGTGAACATATTTGTCTAATTTATTTTAGTCGATGAGTTCCGCAGCCTGTCTCTCCTGTTGGTGCAGTCCCATTTCCGTACAGGAATTGAACAAGGCCGGGTGAACAGAATTGAAGTACTGCCCATATCATGGCATGCTACTCTTCATGGGGAAGACACTGGAATTGATCGCAAACTGAAGAGTATCACACTCAATAGCATCCCCAAGCTACGCCATTTCACAAATGACACTTTGTTGGACATCTTGTTCTATACAAGTCCAGTGTATTGTCAGGTAATAATTCTATACTATTTATGTGACTGAACCAGGTTGAGGCTAGCTCAACCATGGGGCCTGACATTTTGTTCATTATTTTAAACTTTTCATGATAGAATGTCTGCTATGCTCAGTACTGCATCTGCATATGCTCCTTTGTAAAATGTAGTAAGAGACATGTCACATGAAAAGCTAATTAGTATAATGCATTTGTATCACTTCTCATTAGAGTTCAACAAACTTCATGACAGACATTTGGCTGCTTTGTTTCTACATATCCAGTAGAAACTTTTGTTCTTGTCAGAACATAGCACCTATATCTTGTCCAAATAACATATTGGGGACTCATACCATTGTACCGATAAATAAAGATTAATATTCCTTCATCATGTCAGTTCAAGAGATTCCAGAGAGTATTTTTAGCACATATAAAACAACAGTAATTGGCATTAGTCTTGTGCAGTTGAAAATTGCTTAATGCACTGAGTGCAAGGAACTTAATTCTGCTCTTTACACTTACATAAATTCATGACTGTATCTCAAATTTTTTGTTTGTAATTACAATATTATATTCTGCTTTACAGACTATAATGCACACTGTTGGTAAGGAAATGAATCGGCTGTTTAGCTTGTTCAGGGATCGTAACCCTTCATTTGAAGGTGGTGTCTCCGTAGGGGGACATAGTTTGGGATCTCTCATCTTATTTGACTTGCTGTATCACCAGAAGCCAGTGGAAGAAAAGCTGACACGTGAACCCACACCCTCCTCTAGAGAGAGTTCAACTGAACCAGCATCTGCAGTAAGTGTCTACTGTTGTGCTTCTCTACTTGTTTCATACCCAGTAACCATTTAAGGGTGATGGTTTCCTGAAAAATAAAAATGTAGAGAAGACAAAATATCAAAATTATAATTTATTTTTATTCTCCTGTAGCTCATAGGTTTTCATACTGGTTTTGTCTACTTTGGAATAATTTGATGCACATATGCACTTCTGTAGAGCTATTTAGAAAAGTCACTGCACTACACATGACCTAATTCCTGATGCATCATTTTTGAATCATATATGAAATGGTATTGAAATTAATGGCATATGATTTAGTAGATTGTATTCCGCCATTATACTTAGAGGACCCCTGTTTTAACTGTATGGGTCATCTTGTCCAGTCAGGAATTTTAATACACCTGTATGTTCTTCCTTCAGAGTAATAAATTATATAACAGCCATACAAAACAAGAGGTTAAAACATTTTATATATATTTGTGCATATATGTGTGTGCATTCACATGTATGTGTTTGCATACATTTACGTATGCATGAGCATGTGAGTGCATATATATCTTAATCTGTTCTGTTTTGGAAAGCAGTTAGCATAACCAGTTCATGAAATAAATGATAGCAAGCATTTGCCATAACATTAATGTTACAGCAATGCTTTCTTCCAGGATGATGACAAAGATGTAAGCTCTGCTGCGAAAGTACCTCCCAAACTGAACCATCAGGTCAGTTATGTAATGGGGAATGCAGGCACAGGACAGCCTTTCATCACCTATCCACAACTTAATTTTGAGCCAAAAGCTTTTTTTGCCTTGGGCTCACCAATTGGTAAGATTTTCAAATGGATTACTTGAAAATAGGATGAAATTTTATGTGACACTGTTTTCAAATAAGTATTTATAATATTTAGTTAGATGTTGATTGTGTTCTTAGTGGTTTATTTCCTAAAAGAAAAGGTGATCGTATTTGAGGTTATGTATGCCATTTTTTAACAAATATAATGAATTATTTATGTTAGGAACAAAAGTGCTGGTACTGTGTATAATTTCCTGATTCATTACAGTGTCATTACAAAATTGATTTATTTTTATTTCTGTTGTAGGTATGTTTGTTACTGTTCGTGGAATTGAAACACTGGGTAAAGATTTTTGCCTTCCTACATGTCCTGGATTCTTTAATATTTTTCACCCATTTGATCCAGTAGCCTACAGAATAGAGACATTAATTAATCCAGAATTAACTTATCTGAGACCAGTTTTAATACCCCATCACAAAGGAAGGAAAAGAATGCATCTAGGTAAGTTAAAAAATAATACTTGAAGCACCAACTTGCTGTGAACTTGGGCTAGGTCTAGTGAAAAGTAGATATTTATGTAACTTTCTAGTTTGTTTTTGTATGATGTGAATGAGTATCTAAGAGTATGTCCCATCTGTTGTGTCTCTGTTTAACTAAGTCCTCTGCTTGAAAATCTTTGTAAAGGTAATGGAATTTTTGCCACTTGTGTAGCTTACATTAGTTTCATGGTAATAAAAAAACCATTATGATGTACAAAATATGAAAAAACTTATTTTTACAGCTTTAATGTCACATTTAGAACACCATTTTTCATTATTGTGAACAGCTGAAGTGATAATGTTGAGTAAAATGCATTCTTTGTAGTTTTTTTTATAAATCATTGGCATTGATGTTCATTTATTGGAGACAGTTCTTTTGCTGTATACAGATGTGTGTGGGTATATTATTCTTTGAACGATCATTCTTTGACAGACACTTCAAATGACTAAATCAAATCACAGTGCAGAAGACCATTATCCACTTATTCACCATCATGAAAACCTCAGATTTCAAGTAAAGTTGTAGATCTTACTAGGATGTATTTTATTTGGTATTGCAGTTTTTATATTATGAACAGTTGTAATATTATGTTCCCATTTTTGTACTTTGTTGTGTATGAGAAACAGTAAAATTTTGATCAAGCACGTAGTGCATATGGATATGTACTTTATGTAGAGTATGGGTCACATTAGACCAAAATGAATTTTTTTTCTTTTTAATGCTTTGTATCTCATTCACCCACTGTCATATTTGAATCACAGTATAGTGTTACTTTATGACTGGAGCCTGCAGAATGAAGGTTGAGCAGTTTTCATATCTCTGAACTGAATGGGAAGGTAGAAACAAAGAACTTGTGTGGTTGAGATGTCTTGTTTTCTCCTCAGTAAAAGGTGGGGAATTTGTGCAAATGAAGCCAGAAGTTCAGATGAAGATTTGTTTCTGGTTTAAGTTGAAAGGGAGTATCGAGTAATGTACATAGTAATGACTTGTTTTTAATGTAACAACATATTTGGTCCTAAATTGTTTCAGAACTGAAAGAAACCATGGCACGTGTAGGTGCAGACTTGAAGCAGAGATTGATGGACTCTGTACGCAGCACATGGAACACTGTGTATCAGTTAGCAATGTTTCACCGCTCTGATGACCAGGCATTGGAACAGGAAGTAGATAAGGTAATTTACACAGAATAATATTGCCCATTGTAATAGTTGAGTTGTTAGTACTTCTGCTTTGTATTTTGGAGATTATTTTTATTTCTCTCAGTACTTTGAGGAGAATGCTTTGGTAGTACCTCCATATATATCACATCTGCTTCCATACACATTTTTTCCATGTCATCGTTTATAAAACATCCTAGTATTTGACACTGTGTGTATTAGACAATTAAAAAAGCCATAATGAAGTAACAAGAAAAAATTTAAAGAACACAAAATAGTCATAAATATGTTTCACTTCAGCTATCTAAGCATAATAGACATGAAGACTCTATCTACAGATACTCGTACAATTGTGAGGAATGCACTAGTAAATTCTGTGCACTCCAGAATTAATTACACCTTTCATCTCTTTTTACTTCAAGATTTCCCACTGTAACACTGACCATTATTTATATGTATAGGTGTTGGAAGAACAGTTACAACAGCAACAAAATGAGGGAGACAGCTGTAATTCTGGGACAGATGGGGAGGCAGACTTGAATGTGTGTGTGGGACAACTAAATGGTGGTCGTAGAATTGACTTTGTCCTTCAGGAAGCACCATTGGAAAGCTTCAATGAATATCTGTTTGTTCTCAAGACCCATGTCTGCTACTGGTAACTTCATGGCTGTTGAATACTTTTATTAGTGTAGTTCACGCTGAGGTAGACCAGATATAATGTAAAGTAAAGTAAAGTTTGTCCTGCTACGTGCCATATAGGCGCTTGGGGTGAGTGGAGATATAGCTCCTCTCTTCCTTGACCTCGGCACTAGATGGGGGTGAGTGGTCAGCATCACGCCCCGACCGGCTTTACCCCCGGGAAGGACCCCCGGTACCCATTGTAGAGGAGGCTGGGTGGGCTCCAGAGTCGGTCTGGGCGCAGAGATTAGAGGAAAAATCCTCTGTCCCCATCGGGGATCGAACCCAGCCCATAGCTAGTCACTATACTGACTGAGCTATCCCGGCTCATACCAGATATAATGTAGTGTTAGCTTTTCTGTTTCATACTTCAGATCTTGGTCCAGACATTGGATATGTAGACAGATGTGTTTTCTGGTTCTCCTCAGTCGTGTCTGACAAATACTTTCATACCATTACAATAAAAAACTTCTTTGACTTTATTTCATCCTGTGAAAATATGTAAAGCTGCTCATACTTGTGTTTCAGGGAGTCTGAAGACACAATGCTAATGATCCTGAAAGAAGTGTATTCCACTATGGGGATCTCTGCTGACAGCCATGTTCTACACCAAAACACACCTTCAGATTTTGGAACATCAAGTATTCCTTCAAACTCTGATGCACTGCTTGATGCCAGTGGTCCAAGATTCTTGAACAGTATTTTGGAAAGCAATGAGACAGGATTAGAAGGTTTCCAGTCTGAGTCTGATGGCTCCATTATGTCGAGTCACATAGGTTCTTCTTTAGTTACAACATATCCTGTCGATAGACAAAGCTCTACTGCGTTATTGACAGCCCCACATGGACCAGCCGCATCCTCATTTCTTTCAAGTACTCCTACAAGCAGTAGTCAGCCATTAATGGGGATGGATCCTACAGCACCTCTTCTGGAAAACAAGAGTTTGGGACCACCACCAATGACTGGTTTTGTTAGGAAGTGAATGAAGGCCAGAAATATTAATTGGCATACTGCTTGTCAATTAATTTTGCACTGTGTATGGGGATTGTGAATTATAGGAATGTAAATAAGTATTGTGCATAGAGTGGTATGAGTAACAAATGGAATGACTGCATATGTCCATTACAACTTATGTATAATATTTTAAATTATTTATTGATCTACTTGATGGAAATGGGTTTAATGTAAGTGAAATTGTTTATGCTATAATATGCTGTATATAATTTATAAACAGCTTTTGTTCACTGTATTGATGTTATTTTGGTTGTTTTTTTTTTCTATCAACATGGCATTTAGAAGGAATTCTAGTGAAGAATACTTGAGGTTTGATACCATTTTGTAACTAATAAATCCCTTAGCTTTTGCTAATGTGTAACTTGTGCTTACAATTAGTACTTTTGATAAAAAGAAGTAATAACAAATTCAGTGCACTTTGATTAATTTCCTTCCATATTCTTCTAGAAATATTCAGCATTCATTTGAAAATTAGGAGTTGGGATGGATTGAAAGTTTCAGATACACAGGATGTTGACAAGTACTATATAATGTTACATTCAGATCAGTAAGGTGTATTTTATTTATTATGAAACAACTTTTCAAAAGTAGGCATCTGCCAACATACTTTCAATCTGAAATGTAAAATTATGACACACACACCATCAGAACTATCCACAAAATTCCAAAATAATTGCCCTGGTGCTTTGATGAAAGAATCAAATAATGTTTCATTTGATGCAAAAAGATTTAATTGTGTGTGTTGAAAAAAAAATGCAGTAGATAACATTTTAAGTAAAACTACTTGACAGAACTTTCATATCTGAATGGAATTTGCTCTAATTTCAGTTAATTTCTTGCCTAGGTAATATTTCTTCTTATTTTGAAATTTCACTCTTTATTTAAAACTGTTTACAGGAAATGTCATAAAGTAGACACCCTGAAAAATATTGCTTTTTATGTAAACACAGGAAATACACTGTAAAATTTACTATTATAAGTTTTGACTTCTCCATTTAATGTGTCATTAAGCATTGTATATAAAATGTACATACTTTTAGAAACATTTTCTCTGTCTCCAGAGAAAGGTTTATGCTGATATGTAAAAGAGCAGCATAGAACTGGCTGTTGGTCCAAGGTTATTTCAATAATCAATGGTTTAAAAATGAACAACACTAACATTTTTCATAAATGATGTCACTTATACAGCGTAGAGTATGCTGGGATGTAATGCCGTGTATTATGAAGAAACGTTTGACATATCTTGGAAACTTAAGTGCCTTTTCCATTGTAGAATAGACATTTTTCTTGTCTTCATGGTTTAAGTGACTTAATGCCTCATAATCCTTCTGCTAATGTCTTTTATTTTGTGTGCTGTTTATAATTCCATAATTTTATTCATTTATCTAAGATTCATTCAATGATGCTTTCAGTATCTCAGACTGTATAGCATCACTATAATTCCATAAGGGCATATATATACTATCCTGAAGATGGATGAAGTGCAGTAGTTTCTGTGAAATATCAGAAGCTTATTCCATTACTATACAGTGTTACAACCCTGAAAATTACTTGATACATATTGCTACTGGAATATCAAATTTCATAACTTATGTCTTATTCCTGTAGTAGTGTCACATAAAATAAGTTCTGTGTCTATATAGCAATTCTGTTTTATTTGGAACTTGGAAAGGAGAAAATAAGCACCCAGAGGAGTGTGGTTACATGTGTTTTATTCTGTGAAGTGTATTTATGCCCTTACTTGCAGTAATGCATCTCATTCATGATCTAGACAGTGACTAAATATGTGTGCTTGGGTGAATGTGTTTCACAGAACTAGCAGTTTTGCTTGTACTGCTATATTTCAGAAGTTCAGAAGCACATTTTTCTTGCCATTGCCCTAAATCTTCCTCCACCTGGCACCATTAACCAGAAGTGCTACATAAAATGTAGCTGAGAACAAGATGTGCTGCACAGCAGGTAAATATTGTTATATTTAATTATTAAATTTTAACATGTCTCACAAACGTGATATCACACCATACTATGTATGGAATTAACTTGGCTATATTTTTTAAATAAATTTTAATTTGTTGTGTTGGTGAACTGTTGAAACTACTTAACTTTAATTATGATATTGAGAATTTTTTTGTTGGCAAATTGATTGTCCCAGAGAAGCACTTTGTGCTAAATCAATCTTGGTACGATATGAACAGTTCTCTGGGTTTTTTTTCTGTAATTCACATTTGTTTCAAGAGATGACTACCATGCGAAGTATTTGTCTTTTGCATAGAAGTATTTCTTGTAATATTAGACTTGTACGAAACACCTGGCAGTTGTTAGAGGTAGTAATGTTAGGCCAGA